AAAAAAAAAAAAAAAAAGTGGGTTAGTATTTGCAGAACTTGGATGATGGCTTCTCAGCAAGGAAAGTCTCAGGTGTCGGGAGGGCAGGGGGAGGGAAAGGTATGGTAAACACTTTTTTTAAAATATTGCAGGGTTTCCCCAGTGTTTAACAGAACTAGGAGAAAAAAAAAAATTCAAGCTTAAATTTTGAACCCAGTAATCTTAATTTTGTAATGGTGCTGTCAGTTGTGTTCTTTTAGCAATGCCTCTTTTAAAAAAATTTTAAGGGAAAACTAACTCTGTTTGCATAAGAACAATCCAGATGTTGGGACCATTTATTACCAATTAAATCACATTTCTCATGGTTGGAGGGAGGGACACTGCAGTTATAGTGCATGTTGAGTTGTTTAAAACAGTTAAAAATAAGTTTTAATTTGTATTTTTCAAGAGGAGAAAATGGAAGCTGGATTCCAAACAGATGGGTTTGCTTGGGTTTTTTTGATCGGACATCCAGTAAGATCTATGCCAAGGAACTGTCGCTTCCAAAATATCTCCAGGGGCCGCTTGTGTCAAAGTGGTGCGGCCCAGGGCCCACCCGAATGGCGCTCGGCTTCACGTGGTGGAAGATGGGGAATTTGAATCGCTGTCTGTGTCGTGAAACCAGCTGTCTCTTCTCGGAGCAGCGAGCCATTTTCCTGTTTCCGAGTTTAAATTGAGGTGGTAATAAGAAACACTAACAGGTTTTTCATAGCGATGAATTTAGCAGCGTTTTAACACCAAAGTCGCTTTGGACCAAGACAGAATTATTACTAACTGAACACCGGTCTTTGAGGCAGGATCAACAAGCAGCACCTGAATCTGGGTGTAATACGAAAAGCTGCTTTTTTTAAAAAACAAAAGCACATTCCACGTTAGTAGGTAAGCAAACTGTGACAAAAATAGGCGAGTTGATGGCGAGTCGATAGAGGCAAACAGTCCAGGTTTTATTTTCAAGAGCAGCAAGTGAACTGTAAATATTTTAATGTTAGTTTGCCCATATGTGATCTGAGATCATGGTAAGTGAGAGGAAGTTTCCCGACGACAATTAATGTGTCAGAAATGTTAAACTATGAAACCAGCTGCAATCCACCACATAGATCACTCTTGTAATATGTGTTATGGGTCCATTTCTCCTGGAATAGTTTAAACTGAAGCAGTTTCTCTGTTTTGGAGATTTTTGTAGTTAATTTTAATTTTAGCTATTGTTTGGAAAAAGATGGGCTGTCTGTGTAGATATGAAGTATAGTTTTTTTCCATAAAACAGAAGTTTATTTTGTATTAAAAATACCACTGTACTTGTTTTACACCATTTGTATACATGTGGTGATATTAATGCTGAACTGTAAAATTCAGGAATTAAAATGTGACCCTGTAATTCCATAATTACTGCTTTGGTTTGGTTTGTTATACATGGTAAGTTAACTCGGAATTTTCAATGTGGCCGTTTTAGAATATTTTTTAAGAGTAGTTATCCATGCAGTTTTAAAAGTAACTCTATACCACTAGATGAAATCCCAAAGGGAACGTGCGAGTTCTTCCCAAGGCGTAAGCTAGACACAAGCGTTCCGATGGATGACAGTTCACGTGCGTGGACCTGGGGACAATGACGTTGCCCGTCGCGGGCTCCAGGCAACCGAGAATGAGACTCCGTATTTTTCACCTCTGCGATGAAACGCCCCGTCGGCTCCCGAGGCGGAGGATCTGAGGAAGCGCTCGCTGGTAAAAGCGTGGCTGCAGCATCATCATCGTGTGCTCACTCTCCTGCCAACGATCGTCTGGTTGTCTTCCTGATGAGTCTTTCCTCTCCATGGGTAACGCTGATTAACTTCCTCCAGCGCTACACAGGCTGCTCCAGCAGCAGAGTTACGCAGTACGTGCCTTTACTAACCGGAGGCTGACAAAACTGCATCACCTGGCGTGCGGACCTGGGTTGTCCTGATTCTCTCTAGCAGCTACCCAAAACACAATCGCGGGGGGGCTCCGACGGAAGCATGCGAGTCCTTACTTCGTGTTCCCCACCACCCCAGCTCTTCCCCGAAGTACTGTCAGGAGCTTTAACAATACATTCAGACCAAGATGAGGGGTTTTTTACAGCAAAAACAAGAATGTCATGAATTTTTATAGTTACTAGAAAAAGACTCTGTAAAGTGGCATTAGATGTCCCATTTAGAAAAGAAAAGAAAAAAGAAAATCCCTGTAGAAGGTGACATGCAGCAGCACCCTTTCTAACTGGCTCTTGTCTGGGGCTGTCAGCTCCACCGATGCTCTGACCTGGTCGGTGCTGCCGGGGTTCTGCCTGCGGGCAGCCGTGTTCCCGTGCCTGGGGTCCTTCCGCTACCGCTCTTTTTGGAAAAGAACATCTGCCAACATGTATCAGTTATAAATGCTATTTTAATAAAAAGTTACGTGAAACTTGAATTGGTTGGGTGGTTTCTTTTAATGGGAGTTACTGTTGCAGGCAGGTGTGTAATGAGGTGGTGCAAAGGATGGCCTCTTGCCCTGCTTCATTTTAAGTCTGTCCAAGCCAAACCAGGAGACAAGATTCTAGATTTCTTTGAATCTCGTGACATCCCTAGCTTTGCAACTAAAGCACTTATTTTTACTTAAACTTGCATTTATAGCAAAATTGGACCTAAGGACTGGTAAACTGCCCCAAAAGTCTGTAAACCAAAGTAATCCAGAGTGAATATGTAAATGTCTCAATTCCTATTACCTGTTTCTCAAAAATAAGATGGTCATAGTTGCACTTTGTTGTGAAATTAGACTTTATTACATTATGCAGCTGAAAAATAGTAATTTGTTTATAATATTCTAATAAAGTTCTATAATTTTAAAAATAAAAAAGTTTACATTTCTAACTCACTGAGAGCTGTTCACATAGGACTTATTTTAACAGATCTCAATATCTGCTTTTGTTCTATGTAATACCAGGTGCCTGAGGCCAGTAGTTCAGGAAATCTGTACGCTGCAGGGATGGTGAAGGGCCTCACTGTTGAGCGTGTTCCAGTGAAAGTCAGTGAGTTTCCAGCATTGTGGAAAATAAGCGTTTTTAGTGTTGAAATACTTTAAAATATTTATATATAAAGTACTGAGTTGCTTGTCTGAAAGTTCTGTAAAACTAGGTGTAATGTTGGAAAACAAATCCATTCAATTATTGATTATATAATTTATTCTAAAAACATACTTAGGTTCTTGGGGTCTGCAATGAGCTGCTTAAAGTTACCGCTTATTGATAACTTCTTCTTTTAGTTTTTCTGCAAGCATTTTCCTCTTCTGTAGTAATCTTTGCTTCTCTTCTGACATTTCCTAAAAGCAAAGTAAAAAATAATATTACTGTGTTTCTTGAGAAGTGGATCGCAGGATGTGGATGCCTGGCTCTTTACATCACTCCGCCTTTTTTCCACTGCGCTGTACCAGTCTTTTTGAGAGGACGACCCTCAGCTTGACCTGGTGCTGCTTGCTTGTTCTGGAAGGTCCCCAGTCAACAAAGTATTTTGGGCACATTCTGAGCCTAACAAAATGCTCAGCAACTCTGAAAAATACCTGTGGCAATAGAAAGTCCTTGGTCTGAAGTATGTGCTCAGTGAGCAAAAGTAGTGACTTTTTTTTTTTTTTTTTAAACATAACTGTTACCACATTGTTTGGGGGGATTTTAAGGTCTTCCACTACTTTCCTGTCCTGCTTTTGGCTGGGATAGAGTTAATTTTCTTCCTAGTAGCTGGTACAGTGCTGTGTTTTGGATTTAGGACGAGAATAACGTTGATAACGCACTGATGTTTTAGCTGTTGCTGAGCAGTGCTTACCCTAAGTCAAGGACTTTTCAGTTGCCCCGGCTCTGCCAGCGAGGAGGTGCACGAGAAGCTGGGAGGGAGCACGGCCAGGACAGCTGACCCCAACCAGCCAAAGGGATATTCCATACCATGGAACGGCATGGCCGGTATAGAAACTGGGGGAGTTGGCCGGGAGGGGACAATTGCTGCTCAGGGACGGGCTGGGCATCGGTCAGCGGGTCGTGAGCAATTGTGGTGTGCATCGCTTGCCTTTCTTGGGTTTTATTCTTTTGTTTTATTCCTTTTCATTACAATTATCATTATTATATTTTTTTATTATCGTTAGCATTATGTTTTATTTTACTTCAGTTATTAAACTGTTCTTATCTCAAACTGTGATTCTTTTCACTTTTTTTGGATTCTCCTCCCCATCCCACTGGTTAAACCATGACGTTTCCTCATTTGTGTTGAGTTTTGAAGCATTTCTTCTCATGTAAGTGTAGATCAGACCTATTTGTGGTAAATGCATTAAGTCACATTAACTCATAACAATAACAAGAAAAAGGTTGGTTGGTTTTTTGGTGTTGTTTTTTTTTTTTCCCCTGAGAAAGGCTTCTATATTGGTAGGGATTTTACCTGTCATAGGATTCTTTTTATTTTTTTTAATGTCTCTACTTTCTTTCCCCAGTAGGATTTACTTCTTTTTTCCTAAACTAGATTTTCTATCAGGCCCGTGGTGCAAGGCTTTTTGTGACTCTAGCACTTGTTTTAAGTCAAGGAACACATCAGTCAATTCTCTCAGTAACTTCATGCACGTCTCTGAACAGAGAACAGCCTTCGGACAAAAAAGAGACCTTGAAGACCGGGCAACCGCCAACAGGGCACCCTTCTCCTGTCCTGTGCTTCCAGCCCTCCCGCAGACTTGGGGTTTTATATCGGAGGGAACTGGGTAGACAACAGCAGCATCCACCCTTCAGAGTGCCTTGTCGTTCTAAAAGGTATCATCATCATCACCACGTCGCTTCTCTTCCAGTGGTTGATGGATAGAAATCAAGGATTTCTTCATTTGAAATAGGCACAAAACTCTCCAAAGAGAACAAAAGAACAGAGCAAATTTGTTACCTCTGTAAAGTAAGACTTTGCAAAAGAGAAATGTTTTTCCCATTTCAGCTGGGAAAAAAAAGAGTCCCAGAGATTTAAGAGAGTGCAAACAGTAGGTCACAGATGAGGAGAAAACCAGCATTTTAGCCATTCACAAACTGAAATTAATCATGTGGATTTTATGATACTGAAGCAAAATAACACTAACTCAATCACTAAAACGTCTAGCCTCTAAGCTTCTGCAAAACCAGTAACTTGAAAATACCTCCTCTCTACTTGTGTTTGTTTTATCCTGCTACAATACTGAGCAGCAACATTGACATCTTCACGGATATCATCTGTGGTTTTTATAACGCGGTCAGGATGATTAAAATGTTTGAATCCTTCACCTCTTTAGGAGATGATTCCTCTTCTTTCTGGTCAGTGTTCGTTGGCAACAGTACGTTATTTCTTGACTCTCTCTTTGCAGCCATCAGCATGTCTCGTTTTTTCTTTAGGTAGTCCTCTCGTTGCTTCAGCTGCTGTTTTTCAACTTCTGATAAATTCTGGATTTTTTTTTTTTTAAATAGATTTTGAAATTAATTTTTGGTATGCATGTTCTGTGAGATAAAAGCATTTACATCGTATTTGCCTCCAAAATTACTAGCTGAAAAAAAAATCCCAGTTGAAGTTTCAAGCCAGAGCTGTCTACTAAGAAATTACCACAGGACAAAGGCTGAATGCTGAATTCTATTCTAAAAAGTGAATGATGAGCTGAACTTTATGCAAATTAAACTGGTGAATACCACAAAACAGTGTTTGCATCCTGGTTTTAAAAAACCAAACAAACCAAACCCACCTGATTACAATAATAGAAAAAATATATTTAAATGTAATACTGTCTTAAATATATGTTCTAAATGTAACTCTGTCTTTTGGCATTCTAGTTCTATGTTTGGGCTTTTTTCTTGTTTGTTTGTTTTAAACTTACAGGTCCTTTCATCTCAGCTTTTTGTGCTGCGTTTTCTGAACATTTTCCAGCTGACCTTTTCTTAATGTCTTCTTTCCCTCTGGTACAAGACAGCTGAGGTAAGCTTTCTGTTCCTTTTTGTAACGGGTGTACTGGTTTTAACTCTTCCTTCGCAGATTTCTGAGATTCCTCTAAGCAGCAAATTTACATAGAAAACAATTAGAAAGAATAGAAATATATCAAATAAACAAATAAATCGGTGTTTCTTCCAATATCCAGACATCTCTTCTGATGAAACAGAAAACTTAAAAAAAAAAAAAAAAAAAATCACATTTCTCCCCTTTTTATTAATAAAACTTTCTTTCAAAAAACATAGATGCTATGAAAGCAATTAAATAATGCTTTACATCGTAAGTACCTCTACTGCAATGAATTATAAATTGTCAAATGCTTGGAATGTAATTTTATATTCAGAGTTCCAATAGTCAGTTCATACTGAGATTGCACTTGCCATTTCTGTGGTATGTATGTACATGTACACTGTTGCTGTCCATATCGCAAACACTCAAGCTGGAGAGGTTTGTGTCTTAGCAGTACCTGTGGTACTATGTGATCATAGGACCCTCAGTGTCACTTAACCCACGAACCTGAAAAGATACTGAGAAGAGAAGGGAAGGAGGGTGGATAGTGAACGTACAAATAGACAACGCATCTCAAAGAATGAGTTACTGGTACGTAATGTTTTTTTCTCCTTTGAGAACTTGTCTATATGTACAATCACACTGCGGGTGACTAAGGAACGCTCTTTTCCATCGGGACAATTACTTCAGAATCTTCTCAAAAATACAAGCACCCAGGACCACTCCAGCAGATGCTGTGTCCTTCCCATCGGCGTGATACACGCAGCTCGGTGCCAACACGAGTGCAGCTTTTGAAGCAGCTGCCCTGCGGGTATCCAGAATGGGAAGTGTTCTCCAAGAATGCTGGAAAAGGTCACTTGCACTCCGAGGTGTTGAGCATAACCTTTACTATGAAATTCACCCTTCTGATCTCTCTCTAGTGCCACAAGCTGGGTGGTCAAAGTACAGGAGGAATGGTTTTGCAAGCTCTAATCTGTAAACTATTTGTAAGGGGCTCACCAAAGTGAAAATAAGAAAATTAAGGCAACTACTATTAAATTTGAATTCATTATACAGTGGAAAACTTAAAAGGGGCCCACAAACTGAAATCTTGGGTCTCAAGGTGAAGGGGAAATAGCAAAAGATAATAAAAACGCTGTGTATCTGAAGGAAGAGAAATGCATGGCAGACTGGAGGGAATGAAAAACAAAGGAAAAAAAGTTCTTCCTTTTCCTGACTATGAGAACGGGCTCGTGCAAGGGCCACGTTGCCCCAGCAGCCGATACTCCCTAGGAATGGGATGCCTCCCTGTGCTCAGGTCAAGAAAAGCAAGCTGTCCTGTTCCTCAGTAACGCAGCCCTACGAGTGAGAACACAGAGCCAGGATCTGAGCACAGGTCTGGTGGGCTGTGAGGGTCAGAGACCAACTGAGGTGAGAGAAGAGCCGCTCTTCAGCCACCCTAGAGCAAGGTCCTTGCCGTTTCTGTTCCCAGGGTTGTCCCTGGCACCAAGAGGAAGTCAGTCAAGCACAGGATACCATCCCATTATCTGAGACGAACCTTTAGTTGGGAGCCCATGTTTTAGAAGCAGGCAGTAACAGGCTGGCCTGGAGGCTGGTCCTTGGTTCTGTCTGAGAAAGGGGTCCGGAAGAAGATTCTCCATACAGATTCTTGATTTTTGGCACCACTATCCAAAACCACTTTTCTAAAAGGTGACACCAGAGGATAAGCCGTGACAAAACTTTCTCAGTAGCTATGCTGCCGCAAGACACCAGTTCTACAAGGATGAAGATTTCCAAGGAGCTAGATTTTTTGTAGACCTGTCCCTTCTTTGGCATTTAAAGAGCACGAGAATGCTCAGCACCAGCTGAGCAGGCACCTGGACAGCACAGAAGGGCTGCACTCAGTGCGGAGAAGTCCCGACTCCTGAGCTCCAAGATCTCTGGTCTCTCAAGCACAGGATAAAGTCCTGCCGACAGAGTATTTGTGAGGAATGTGCCTTCCTCCTGAACCAGGAAAACAGCCACTGCAGGACAGACATAGTTTAGTGGTGCCATTGCAAGGTAGCACTACCATGCAAAAGTAAGAGAAGTAGAAGCAGGCTGGGCGAAGAGTGTAAGTATACCTGCAGGCTTTCTGCATACTGCCGAGGGTGGAAGGGAGAGAAGAGTTCAAACAAATGTAACAAAACCTCAGCCGAAGGACAGAAGAGATAAAAGGGAAAAAAAACATATTTAAAAGGTCAGTGACAATTTTTTTCATTTTTTAAAGTTTTGTCATGTGAAAGACACAAACTCAATTCAAAGAACAGAGGGTCCTACAACCACTTCATCTGTTAATGGCCATCAAATGAAAACGCAAGGGGCATGTATGGCCCAAAGGTACCACCAAGGCTAAAAGTACCCAGCTCAAGTGTCTGCGATATGAGAACTTCCAGTGTGAATGCATACAAAGACAAGTACGAGACAGAGGAAAAATATAACTAAAGATAGTACAGACTATTATTTCCTAAAGTTGGAATTATGTTTTTGGAAGTGACCTTAGAATATTAAGTTACAAATTTTTCACAAACTCATAAGACAGCAGATCCCACTGAGATGCAACCTAGTTTTGAAGATCACCTATGTGTACCTATATACATAGATACAAGTGTGTATACATACATACCTGTATGTGTCTGTGCACGTATACACACGTATATATGCTTCTTATCACCTAAGAATCTTCCTGCTCTCCTGGGCAGGTCAGCACCCTTGTGCTTTAGCTACAACTCAAACATACCAAGAGCACTTCCATCACAACCAGTGATTCTTTTTTTCACCTCCCTGACAAAGCACTGGCTTGGTCATGCCCTCCAGTAAATAATTATCTATGAAACAATTCAGATAATTTTCATGAGATAACTTCGGTAAAGTTCAAGACTACTTAAAAGAGCTCTCCTTGGTCTTGTAAGTTGGTAAGTGTCACAATCCCACTCAAAAACAAAAATGTAAAATTGAAAAGATTAAACTGAGTAACAAAAATTTGACCAAAGGCAAAAAGATTCAGTTTGGTGGTCTAAACAATTCAGCTTGAATGAATCTTAACAGTTTAAGGTTGGTTCCTTCAGAAATATTTGATTGCTATCAAGAAATGTTGTACAATTATAAATTAAATCTCTAATGGCCACACACAGGGAGAGAAAGCACAACTTTGTAAGTAAATGATTCACAGTTGCTTACAGGGAACATACTGTTCCTAACAGTAATGGTGGCACAAGCAGAGTAAATTGAAAACAGAAAACTGCTGTTAGGCTCCTGTATTTCTCCTCCAATTGGAGATGACTTAGAACATCACCGAATAATAAAACAACTCAGGTTGGAAGGCATTTCTGCAGGCCACCTAGTGCAAATACCCTGCTCAAAGCAGAGCTAACGTCAAAGCTAGGATGGTTTACTCACAGCCTTATCCAGCCAAGTTCTTAAAATCTTGATACGAGTGGACTCTTTCAATAATATTGCACATGCAGCGTCGCGCTTTCCCATAAAATTACCTAATGGAAATTTTGGAGTTTCTTCAGAATCATTAGCTCCCTCAGTGGATCCCTTAACTTTTACAGCTTCTCTCGAATCTCCTGGAAAACTGTAGGTAACATCTGGTGATTTAAGTTTATCACGTGCCTTAAATTAAAAAACAAACAAAGCCAAGCATTACATTTCCTGGCACTGTACTTAGGGCATTAAACTCTCAAAACAAAGAAAGCTCCCAAAAGAATTTGCAGTTAAAATTGTGTTGTTTACACTACATACTGCATTGTCAAAGTGAACAAAAGCAAACTACTTATTTTGTTTTACTAATAGGAAGGTTCTTACTGGCCTATAGTCATAAATCAGCATTTTTTATTTTAGTTCACAAACCTGTTCTCTAATCAACAAAATTTAGAGTGTTAGATAAATTGATATTTTGTTTCCCAGCTACAAATAGATAATGTAGGGGGTTTTTTTTGCCACACATAGCATATGACTTTCAAGAAGACATCAGTCCACCGGAAAAACCTAATACAGTAAGAGAACCAAGAGCATATACTGAAGTTACCACAGAAATGGAGAAATAATCAGCTGAATGGAAACAACAGGTCTGGATAATCTCTGACACTATTGTTTCACTTCTACAGTTGTCTGGGAAATCTTGACAACACAACCCACCTCTCAAAATAGTACAGCCAGCTGGGATTTGCCCAGAAAATGTCTGCAACTGTTTATCAACCTTCTAATTCATGTCGGAACACCCTAGCATTCATCAAAATATTACATTATTTTGTACTAAAACATTCTCTAACAAAAACATATTATTGAACAATAACTATCACCACCTCTGCTGTTCAGGTGAATTTGAGTGGGGCCTCTGTAATCTGGCTGGTTTATCAAGAATATTAATATTCTTGGCTGATCCATAAAAGATTTGGATAAGCCTGCATTTAAAGACAACTTGAATTCTTAAAATGAACCAAAGCTTGAGTTTCCTGGTTGTTTTGTAAGAAAACGGGTAGAACAGGTGACTCAATTCTGGAAACTATCATTGTAATATGGGAAAGAAGAGTTTTGCCACCACTTTTCTACAGTGTTAGCCACTGGGAGAGGGGTTGAATTTGGTAGAATATCCCGACTGTTCAGGTCTTGCATTCAATAGCATAGCCATCATCTGCACCTGTCATGGGTTGGAAAGTGTCGACCTCTGTAGTAGCTACATTTGGTCTCCAGGTGGTTTCCTTTGTCAGTTCAGGCTGAAGAAACAGTGCTTTCTCTTTTCAAATTTAGCATGCTCAATTTCCTAATGACAGATCAGAACAGAAGAGCGATTCTGCTCCCTTTTGCCACAGCCTACAATTCCAGCTATTTTTATGTTTTCCCAGTGAAGGGGAGGTTTATTACCACGATTCCACTGTAGCTGATTTCAGTTTCAATTTGTTTCTTAGTTGCTGAACGACTGGCAATTTAGCCAGTCCCCGTTTACAGTCAGTTACCTTTCTGCATGGTTTACTCTGACAGAGACCAAGCGATGGTCTAACTTGGAGAGGATTTCAGGTTCCTGGTGATTAGGTTCTGGCAGTATCATGCAGACTTAATGAATAACTATACTGTCTATCAAGTGATCCTTAAAATTCCTGAAGGATTATGAATGCTGTAATCTCTAAGCAGCTTATACTTTGAAGTCTCTTTGATCTTGACAATATTAGTAATTCAGATGTTCTCTGGATCTGAAAGGTTGACATCCGTTACCAGGATTTTCAAATTCAGATACTGAAGAGGGAATATGCTTATCATATGGCTCCACCAAATGGCTGATAGTTAATGGTATCACGTATAGCACTAGTGTCAATGATATCACCAAGAAACACGTAAATAACAGAACAGACCTTTCAAAAAGAAGTGTCAGTAAGATGTTCCTGACAGACCTTTTGTTTGCTTAGGATGGAACACGTTGCCTTAAAGTGATACAGTCAACACCCAGGACAGGAATATCAGAGTATTTCTTAGTCATCAGCATAAGTCATCTGGAAAGGTAAGATACTCACCTCTTCAGTCCTCTTTCTTTCTTGCTCTATTTCATATTCTTCCTTAGATTTTCTGTAACACAAAATACAAGTGAATACTCAAAAATTCTTTAGTATTACTGACTCTTAGGTAAATTTAGCACTGCTTAAATATTTGAGGACTACCAAAACAATTACAAGATAACAGGAATTTGTTAGTATCTAAAATACTTCCACGACTTAAATGAAAACGCATGCTTAATAGAAATAAGTAATTATGATAAACACACAGAACCCAGCATCCTCAAGTTTATCTTTCCCTGTGCAAAAATAATTGTGTAGGAATTTCCAGGGCTTATCTAGCCCTTGTTTCATTTGCTCGTTGAAAGACAGGAAGGGAAGTATTTCCAGAACACAGAGGAAAAATAGCATAATTTAATACAACATGAATGGATTAATCTGCTATTATTTGTTTAAGATTATGGGTTTTATATATATGTGAACTGGGAGTGGAGGAGAATCTATAGAAGTTGTGTCGGTCCTCACACATCTTCTTAGATCATAGCAACAGTCATTGAACACAACTAAGAAGGAAACTGTAGGTCAGAATAAAGCCTACTGCAAAAGCAGGCTTTGCCTTTCCAAGGCTTTAATGTTTAGGGTGTTCCTTGAATGGATTACAGCTACTGTGCTCCTGTTGTCCAGAGAAATCTCACCCAGGTCTAACTTTAGGTCTACCTGGAGATTCAAGGGAGAAGGGAAATGATGGGGCTCTTAAAAGTTGCACATCATTTCGTGCATCACCAAGACAGTTCATCACGGCAGAGCAGTTCTCTCTCAGTCTTTAAATATTCCTGATCACACCCACCGTCTAGCACCATTCATTTTCTCTTAGGTAGGATTTTGACAAGAACATTCACGTCATCTGTAAGATGAAGGCAGTTGCCTGGAAAATGCTGGAAGAGTTAGGTCCTACATACCTTTAGTTTTTATTTTAAAATAATGGACAAAGTAGGACTGATTCATTTTTTACCTTAGAACCTCCCTCAGTATTTTCATTTCTTCTTGTTCAATTTCACTGAATACATCAGAACCCTCTGTCAAACAGTCAGGCAAGACACCTATTAAAAAGCATAGCAAAATTTATGCATTACTCCAAAGAAAATAATTTTGTACTCCATTTGGCATCATTCTTCAGGCAGAGAGGAGAAAGAAAAAAACAAAACTCCACCCATCTAATTCTTCCTCTCTGTAACTGTTTCCAAAAAGCTTCTAGATCCTGGGCATCAAGTTGCTAGAAGCAAAAAGGCAAAGGTTTCTAACTATGAAAGTTTTGACATGAAAGGGTAAAGCATAAGCCATATTCTGCATTGACCATTATATGGCATTTCCTATAGACTGCAATTCAGCCGTGGCTAACCGAACCATTTTCAAGTTTAGCTGTTACATGAAAGTTGAAATTTAAAAATTATTCTCTGAAAAAACATGCACACCGTAGGATGACAAAACAAAATGGTAAAACTAAAGACATGGAAGAAAAGAGTGGGCAGATGAAAATCCTTTCAGAAACATCAACAGAGCAGCAAAGCTGGGTGTAAATTATTTTCTCTTCTTTAAAAACATGCATGCACTAGCATGACAAAGGCCATAACTTCTGCTTTCTATATGGATTTTTCATATGCAGCTGCACAGTGTGAATTGCAAAGTAAGCACAGCAGGTAGTACAGCATCATTTCTATGCAAGTAGCATAATTCAAACTATCAATATTGTCATTGTTGATGAAATTATGTAGTTGCTTTAACACTCAAAATTATCACCAAAATTCTTTAAAAAAAACCAAGTCAAGTTTCACAGAAAAAATTAGACAAACAGAACTGAAAAATCTGTTAATTTAAAAAGGAATATAGACAGCTGTCACTGAGAATACAAGCAAAGGACTAAGTATTGAAATCCTAGTCCCAGTAAAATCAGCTGAATGTTTTTGATTAACTTGAACTGGAACAAAACCAGTATTCTATACTCATTTATGAACAGATTACATAGCCATCAACATAACACTAAAAAGATGGAGAGAAGCGAAACCCTACATTTACCACTTCTTACCATTTCTTTCTTTAATGATTCTAATAGCTTGCAATTGCATTTCAATATTTTTCTGTACCATCATTTTCTTAAATAGTCTAAAATCTTCTGCCGCCAACACTGTTTGCAAAATGGCCTGTGGAGGGGAAGATATGCACAAAATTAAAAATCCTGGAGAAATCATAACCATCTCTGTCTGCTTGAAATTACATTCAGATTTAAATACTGTGGAGCATGTTTTTAATAATTATATTTAATTCTCCTATCTGTCTATTTTTCCAGCCATACAAGTTGAGACAATAGTCAAGAAAATAATTTAATGATTGATGTCTTTAGATCAACATGTCTACAATAATATTATCACAAAACCTGGAGGGTTTCCCAGTGTAAGTGTACAACTGCGATTCATTTGACTTCCTGCACAAATGCGTAAGCTTGAGCGAGGAACGTGCGCTCTGAAGAAGCTTGTAACACATCTAGGAGGAGATACGTCAACAAAGCTCAATTCAAACTGGCAGCAGAAGCTCTCACTCGTCTGCCCAATATACCTGAGACAATTCTGAAATACATTTCTGAGCAGGTGAAGGGCTGGCTAATGATGCTTTGTCTTCTCAAGGCCAATGTTTGTCTTACAGATTTTACTGGTTTATTATAAAATCAGAGGAAAACATCTTTTATTTTATGGAATATGTCTATTGTTTTAATCTCTAAATTTGTCTGCTACTGTAAACGGACTGAAGGCTAACATAAAGCTGACAAATAGGCAAATAAAGGTGTCAGAAACACCCTCAGCTTAGAGATTTGTTTTAGAAATTACAAAGCATAGAAGATGAATCTCAAAAGGTGTCTGACACCACACAAATAATATCTGGCGTTATTTTCAAGATGTGCATTTTTCTGGTCAAAGTTCATAATATAAATAACACATTATGTTTTAGAAACTTGTAGTTTTAACAAGAAAACTTTTCAAAGTTTCATCTCCAACCTGCTATATTAGTGAAAATGTAAAGCTAAAAATTAAATCTATACATTTCTTAACAAAGGAAAATACCTGTGAAGTGTGTGTCTTTGCAAGAGGAGATGAAAAAGCTTCTTGGAATTTCTCTTCATTAATTCCAACTTCTTTAAGATAGTCTTCTAATAATTTTTCAACCTGTAAGAAAGTATAAGCCTTACTTTCTGAGAGGTTTTTCCCTAAGAATCATATGAATTTTTTTCATAATTGTGTATTCTTTTCTGCTGACATTGTATTTTTTAAACTCATAGAAAAATAATTGCAATAGCATAACTGATTTTTCTGATATGACAGGCTTTATTTACTTTCATGAACTGTTCAAAACAAGCATTGTTATTGCTAAATTTGATTACTGCTTAGTTTAGCTTCTCCAATTTCCAATAATCTCACTTCTCTACCTTTTCCCCAGACTCCTGGCTAGTATTCCTCATCATTTTTTGCCCTGTTGGTAAAAGGCTTTTTGCTAGCCCATGTGCCTGAAACCCTTCAGGGTCAGAGCAAAAATGGATGTTGGTCTGTGTTTATTCAATTGATGCTTTTTAATAGCGAGTATTATCAAGCCTTGTTACAAAAAAAAAATTTTTACAAATAGGCGTGCATTGGTTTATAGGTATTTTAAGCATGCTCCAAAAATCTCCTGTAGTTTTTTTCTGATAATTTAAAGTTAATTCAAAAGATGTACCAGACTCATTGGTGAACAAAATACAAGTTACACATGTTCTCAGACATCATGCTGTTTGTCATTTTAACTTGACAGAAAACATGAACATTATCAAGCTTCTAAGTACACTATTTTAGCTAGTGGATGTATTAATTTTAATCAAAAATATGTAACACACCATAACAGATATGACTGTGTGTTAAAGTTTCTTTTCTATGTATCTGGTATTTAACCATAAAAATGCACATGACAACTATGACTCAAAGGATTTCTAAATAACACTTATAACAGGCAATACTAGAAAATTCTCAAAGGATTTCTAAATAACACTTATAACAGGCAATACTAGAAAATTCTAAGTAACAAAGATAATATAACTACTTCAACATGTTAAATTATATTTCTTAGAAATCTATGACAAATAGTGAATAATGCTCACCAGAGCTTGGTACTCCTGATAAATTTCTGTATAAGACAACTTGCTTTCTTCTTCATCATCAAAAACTGGGGGGGGGAAGGGAAACAAACACACATTTTGGAGTTAGTGTACACACTACAAATTAACTTATGCCTTAAAGAGAAAGATTATCCTTTACAAGGTAATATATTTAATCATATGAAAATACAGGCCATGACTGATGATAATAATAATGTATTTTTCCACACAGTCAAGCTAAGCTTGTACTTTTGGTAATTTAATGTAATTAAATTTCATAATTTAATACTGGGAAAACATATCTTCGTAATAGAAGCAGATTTCTAAGCATGTTGAGGATTCAGCAGATACAAACACTAAAAAGTAAGACTACCATATGAACTTGTGTAAGGTTGTTCTAAGATGGCAGATGACATATATAAAGCAGGAAATGTTTCTCTATCTCTCCATGTATTTATGTGGAGGATGTATTAATGACTTAAAGCGAATTTTTTTTAAATGCCATTCGTTTAGCTATAAGCCAAGGTGACGCAGGAAAGTGAGACCCTGCCTGCATAAAAAGAGAGAACTCCAAGGTGGAAATCTGCTGCAGGGAAGTTATTTTTTAATTGTATCCATCCTGATTTAGACCAAATGGGCATCTGTATGGTATAGACCATATCAATCATATTCATATAAGTTCATATTAAGAACTCTTGACTGGAAATACCAAGCTAAAGATCTCCACACTGCAGAATAGATGGAAGAAGCAGAAAATAATAAAAACTGAAAACTAGGGTTTGGGGGTTTTAATTTACATTTTTTTCATGTCAACAATGAACAGAGGTAATGTGAAACCTAGCAATTAAAGCAGAGGCTTAGAAATAAGACTTCCTCAATCCCCTTCAAGATTAGCCACAATATGCTGGACAAGTCACTTCTCATGTGCATGCTTTGAAGTCATTTGATGAGTGGGAATTCTACTTAAATTGGTGAATGCGTGTGATTTATTCTTCAAAAATATATATATATATATATGACATCTCTGATGGAAGATGGTACTGATGTGAGTAGAATTAGTATAACTTTCATGCAAATTTAAAGTCACTTTTAGAAAGCACCACTTCCCAGCTGTAACATCCCTGAGGCGATGTCACTCTGAACCTTGATAAGGCGTGATGCAAGATGGCTGTTCCTAAAACAGAAAGTACTTGCATCACTTTCTAACAACTTACAGCAATGCAATGATAGAAATCTAATCAAACAGTTCAGGCCCTCTAAATAAGGAAGGGAAACTTTCTTTTTAAATTACATAATCTGGAAAACCAACATTTGCTTTTGTTTCGTTTTTGCACAAGGGAATTTTTTTTAATGAGGGGATTTAAAAACAAAAGAAAAGAAAAGCTATACAAATATTCAGGAATAAATTCAAACGGTAGAAAAAGTATTATAAATCTTACTCTAAAAAAATTCAGCTCCTATGGCGACCACCGTATTACCAAACCTAAGAGGGTGAAGACACTGAACTGCCTCTCTTGTTCTCTGCATCTCCTCCCCTCTGGAATATCCCCCTTTCCGTTCTTGCAGACCCCAACCTTTGTTGTAGTTTCTCTGTTCCCTTCTACCTCCTACTCTTCCTTCCCGCCTTGGGCGGCCAGAGGAGGGGGGACCCCGGGGTGTCACTCCTCAGTCAGTGTCCGTGCCAACAGCTAGCCTCGCACTGCCAAGGGGATGCTTCCAAGTCCTCCTCCTCCTCCTCCTCCCACAGCTGCAGGACAACACGGACAGCAGAGTGAAAAGCCTGCACAAACTGCTCTCTGTTCTCAGGCTCTGAACAAAAAGGGGATGAAGTTAAGTGCCAAGTAAAGCAAGCTGCAGTCAGCACCTCCTCTGAGGTAAGGGGCATTAAGGAGTACTTTGAATGGAGACCTTGGATTTTCTTGAGTCAGGGCTCCTAAATACTGCAGTCATTATTTTCCTTAAGGTTTTCACAGAGTCTTTGGTCGCCCAAAAGGAACAAAGATCTGAAGAACCACCGTATCAAGATAAGCCAGGGGACCCAGATATCCTGGGAGACCAACTCATCCTTTTTCTGTTAAAATTGAAAATATTTGCTAAGACCCCTGAAACGGGATCAGCGTTAAGTTTGAGTTCTCCTCCCTGCTAGACTGAGCCACTGATTCATTTGACCTCACGGACAAGAGCCGGTAAGCAAACCTGAGGGAACTCTTCTCTTTCTCCCCCAGTCCTCACTGACTGGTGAGGCATCTCTGTGCTAGGAGGGAAGGGAGTCACAGGCAATGGTATCTGTTTATTCCTTTTGTACCTCGTCGTTAGCTTCTGGTGCTCAGAAATATTATCAAGCTTATCTATGTCCAAATGATGTTTCAAATAATACCTTGGCATATCTCAATAAAACTGAAAAGCCCTTTTGTCTTAAATACATACCCAGATTTAACTTCCATTTCACAGCCACATAAAAGGAAATTAATTAAGGCATGAGAAATTAATCAAGTCCCCAGAAAGAGGGAGAGAGAGAAAGCAAACAATTATCAACAGATAGAAAAGCATTAGGATCGTTTATAAGTTGAAGTGCAAGGACTTGGCCTAAGTAACTACAGTTCCAAAATAAATTCCTTACGTACCAATTACCAAAACTCAAATTCTGGTTTTGAAGAATCACAAATTATTGTCAGTTAATCAAAATTTTGCTAATTTGCTTGTTCAGCCCAAAGACTAAATGTTTTGAGAACAAAAAGAATTCTGTCTTGACAAAATATCTCAGTAAAAAAAACCAGCAATGGAATCCACACTGCACATTTATAGAAAGGAAAAGCAAATAGCACAGTTATCTCCAGCTAAAACTTGAAATTTCTTTAACTGTGCTTCTTAGCAACCCTAGCATTGCAGTAACACTTCTTTGGCCTTTTCTTTTTCCTCAATAGCTTCCGAGAGTTGTCCAACAGCACTCTGTAGCACAAATGATACCTTGGAAGCTCATTTACTGCAAGTGATTTCTCTACTTTGTTTCTCCAATTTCTTACGTAGAAACAAAGTGGCAGCAAGTGACCATTATATAAGCCTGCCTCACACTACATGGAAATTTACAGAGGTTCCATAAATCTTCTTACCGCCAGTAAATTCCCCTCAACCTTCTAAAGAGAGATCGTTGCTCCAGAGAAGGATAATCAACTCCCCCCGATTCCTAAACCTAGACCCTCTGCATGATAATCAAAATGCTTGACTGACCTCACGTTTAGGCAGGCTTCCCAAGAGAAAACTTGAGTCTAGACTTCTGTATTGCTTCCCAGCTGTAAAGAGTCCAGCGGCTTTACCCTTCTCATTTCCCAGTATACTAGGGAAAGGTGTACGTATGTTACGTGAGGCATGATCTTGCCTCATGCAAAGCTTGGGAAGGGTAGAAATGATTCAGGATAAGTGAGAAGCAACTTGTTTAGAAGCTGTGATCTGAATCAGAGGTGCATCTGTTTCACTGATGATGAAATAAGAATTCTTAATGGACCCTAACAAGAACGACTGCACAACAAAAGACGTGTCTGGCCCCGCTGAGGCCAGCCATTACAGAAGCTGTTTTGGAGCCCACAGCAGGATGCAGGGGATGAAGGAGTAAGCACAGGCAGGTAAAATACTTTAATAGTAAGAACCATTCTACTTTGAGGTTGACGTTAGTAAATCCCTAGAAATAAAATGTATTTGGAAGCCTTAGTTTCATGAGTTCAGTATTTTGAAGTTAAAATTATCAATGAACCCTACATCCTGTCAGGTGTTACTAAAGGAACAGATTTTATTCACAGTCGCCATAGAAAGTTACGCTAAATTAGTCTATGGCAACATGCTTTAATACTTCTCATGTGCGAATGTCTGCAGGCAGGGTAGGATCACAGGCCATCATGTTCTCAAACATGCGCTTTCCCCCCCCCCCAATAATCACCACAGAAAGGTTCATTTTTTCCTAAAGGACTTAGGCAATGCTCTCAGACTTGCCCGAATTGTAATTCTTCTGCTACCATAAGGATCCAGGTGTTCTTTGGCAGCAGAAAATTTGTTCTGTAAGTAGCAGAACTGATTTAGCCAACTCTGTACTGCAGAAAGTCTATGTGCTCCTTTCCTTATGATGTGCGTAGACCTACACAGGTCTGCTCAGGCACCTTTATGTGGAGCTACAGGACTACCCCAGTCCCCCCTCTCACTGCCTATACTCCCAGTTTACTCAGGCTGTTCCCCAAATTATTCCATGATTCCCTCAGTTCCTTCTTGAGGAAGAAAAGGAAGCTTAACTAGAGTGGCTTCCCAGCTAAACCCCTGCACAGGACGACCTACAAACCATAACAGATAATCATTGACTTTTCAGTGCTGACTGTCATTTTTTGAGAGGTACTAACTTACAGTTTCTCACCTCTTAACTGCCAACGTTGACAAAATTGCAGGAATTTTAACTTCGGGCCTTCTAGTCTTCTGGCCAGGCAGTGATTCTAATTTTACTGGCCAGTTTCCTAAGGACAAAAAAAATCTAGGTACGGAAAAGTATTAAAGGCCTCCAACTGCTTTCTGGCCAGGTCAGGGCATTAGGCGCAGCGGAACGAACCCGCTGGGGTGTCACGCCGTAAGCTCATGCCATAATCCCCTGT